GGTATTGGTGTCAATGCATCGTTGCGGCAAAGTGGCCAGCGGCAGTCCGTTGCTTCTATGTCTACCGGTACATCGGTACCTATTGGCTTGCAGAATTATTCTGCTGCAATCACCAACCCTTGTTATATGAACACCATTTCCGGGCAGCTCAGGTTTGGGGGCGAAATATTCAGCGTGTATCCTTCTGTAAAAGTGAATGGGTCTTATTCCCAAATTGAATACGCTGAAAATGGTTCCCGTAAAGGGTTTGGGTACTTTAACCTGGATAAAAGCGGGCAAGACGACCTGACCGATTTTTCAAGAGAGAAGGATGGTAACTTTAATCCAACCATGCATTTTTTGCCGCAGTCTCATCTTACCTATGATATTTACAGCGTGAGCGGACAAGGGACTGGTGGTTCGTTCCGGCCATTCCGTAATGATATTGGCAGCATCTATGATCCTTATACCAAAAGCCCGGAGACGCAAGCAGAATCCTTTAGTATAGAAGCGGGAATTGGTAATCTCTTTGAAGCCGGTACTGAGTACACACATAACAGGACCAATGTAGAGTCGGGGCCCTGGCCCAAGTATGTGCGTCCGTTCCGTAAAGACAGCACCGGCTATAATGAACCGGTATATTTTAAGGAAGCCGGGGAACTGACCGAAAACAATGAAACCTACCTGGATGCCTATGGCCGGGAGAATGTGCTGACACCCGACAGCCTCGCCAATATCCCGCTTTTAAAGCCCAATGCCGGTACGCGCATCGTGCGGGCCAATCATATCTTTACCCATAGCGGTGCGGATGCGGATACGGCAGCACTGGTAGATGGCAAGACCCTTGTTTCTTATACAGACGCCAATGGCTTTGCTAATTATCCGACCGTTGGGAAGACAACGATCTCCCGGGTAGATACCGACCCCGCTAAAAAGCTAAAAAGGCACCCGCATCATGTGACTGAAATCATCCAGACCCAGAAGGATGGGCGGCGTTATGTTTACGGACTGCCAGTGCTGAATAATGTACAGCGGGAGGTGACGTTTGCAGCGGATATCAATAACAATCTTGACCGAGACAAGTTCCTCATCGGTTATAAAAAAGGCATTGACGACAGCAAACAAAACCGGAATGGACTCGATCATTTTTATTCAGCAACCGTCACCCCTACTTATGTGGCTGCTCATTTGCTAACCGGTGTTTTATCCAAAGACTATATCGATGTTACGGGGAATGGTATCTCCGATGATGATCTGGGCACTTATACCAAATTCAATTATTCGCGGAAAAGTTCAGACTACCGCTGGCGCTCGCCCATAGAGGAAAGCAAGGCCCAGTATATACCAGGCTATATCAGCGATAAGCGGGATGATAAAGCATCGTTTCTCATCGGCTCGCGTGAGCAATGGTTGCTGCATACGATTGAAACCCGTAACCAGGTGGCTGAGTTTTACGTATCGGGCCGGGCAGACGCACATGGTGTGCTGGACACGATCTTAAAGAATGGCCCGGTATATAAAGATGCATTGTACAGTAAACAAGGGCTTCCGGAAGAAAACAGATCCTTTAAGCTGGATTCTATTGTCCTGTTCAACAAACATGACCGGTTTATGAATGGCGCGCAGGCACAGCCGATTAAAACGATCTTGTTTACCTACGATTATACCTTATGCCCGGGCGTGCCTAATTCCACCAACAGCCAGGGCAAGCTGACCCTTAAACGTATCCAGATGCGTTATGGCACCTCTAACCTGAACCTGTCGGCAGCCTATTCTTTCCGCTATGGCAGTCCCGAAAACAACCCGGCCTATAATATCGCAGAAAAGGATCGCTGGGGCTTTTATAAAGAGAATGATCCAACCTGTAAT